ATTTTCATTTCCTTTTAAAGGCAAGCTTTAAAAACCAACAAAAGCCGCCTCTTAGCTGTGCCGTTGGATAGACCAGGGATGTGTTGCTGCCGGCGTTACTGCCGGTTCGGTTCTCGCACGCAGTTGCCTGTAAATAGGTCTCCACATGCGCAGAACATTAAAAATGCCCCCCCCCCAAAAAAAAAAACCATGCTGCCGCTACCAGGGTACCAGTTTGGGGGCGTTGCAAGTCTGCTGTCCTTACTGGTTCGGCGACCCAGTTGCAATTTCCACTACCGGTTCACCAAACTGGTGTGAACAGGTATCAACCCACCTCTGGAATAGACCAACACTGGTGAAATTGACCTGGCCCAGGTTGTGAAATTGATTTTGTGAAATTGACCCGTCCACAATAGTAAAACTGGACAGGAACAGCGTCTGGGGAATCGACAAACAAGCAGAAGATCCAAAAATTGATATCTTCCCCTTTCTTCTCTTGAAAAAAAAAGAAACCACCTTCGCCAACCAAGACCCAAAGCACCAGCGCATTCTAGGGCGCGTCTGTTCTGACTTAGGCTTCACAAAAATCACCAAGCAGACTCCTTGTCCCGACAAAACCCCTTTTTTATGAAGCTAAGGTGAATTCCTCTCATTCCAGCAAAATCCCGGCAAACAGTCTTTCAACGGCGAATTGACATCCAACAGACCTTATCAGGCTTGGAGAGCTGCCAGGCCAATATCATCCAAATGCAACAGCTGTAGAAGAAAATACTTTGCAAGGAGTCCCCTGCAGTCACAAACCAATCTTCACAATAATTATGTGAACTAATTCTCTCCTGCAAACTCCACTCCCCTTTCGCTCCTCTTTTATTTCCTCTGGGAGGGGCCATTCACCGTCCCCCTGTGGCCTTCCTCCCAAGTCGACCCCTGTTCTTTAGTTCTTCCCTTCGTCTGGCCACTCTGCACATGTGCACACTGGGAACAGGCTCCAGCTGTTCTTCTGCCTCACTGATGTCTGACTCCGAAGGCAGCTGATGACTGTCATACGGCCCTGGCCCCCTCCCTGCCTCCGACACGAAGCCCTCACCATCCGAGCCTTCCCCAGACTCCAGGACTGGCCCATCTTCCTCCCCAACCTCCCCACTGTCCGAATCTGCTGCCAGCTCTGCTGCCCGCTGGCATGGGCCACAACAGCTTCTCTCTCCCTGTTGAACGTTGGCCCAGCAAATCCTTCTTGTGTTCAGTGATCTGGAATTCATTCACTTGCTGACATAAAAAGTGATTTCAGCCCAGTTCAGCTTAAGAGAGAAACTCCGCGGTTACATTCACCCATATAATCGGGAAAGCTTTATCTGAATTTTTAAGAAAACGGGATTTGTACTGTACAGGCACGTGTGTTAATATATCCCTTTTTTTGTGACCCCAGCTTTCCAATCCTGCTTTAAATCGGCAATGAGGTCTTCTAGATGACGGTGTGAATGTTTATCTTTTCTTTGTGGGTTTCTTACTTTCCAGCCTGGGCAGGAGACCCTGGGATTGTATTCGTTAAGGATCAGCAAATGAGATGCTAAATCCATACTTCCCTCATCTACACCCTGGCAGGATTATCCCCTTCACATCCTCATTCCCTGCATGCATAAATTGATCGATTTACATTTTAAACATTTAAAAGATGCCTTTTCGTGGTCACCTCGGAAGAACGAGACAAAAACTGCTCAGAGAGAATAGCAAGTGGGTCAAATTAACAGACACGCCAGTCCTTTAAGATTCGTTTTCAGGCTGGGTGAAGAACGCCGTATGGGAGCAACAGTGGGTTGGGCTGGCACGACGTGGCAATCCCTAAACTTTGATTTATAGGCTCCAAAAGGCTGAGAAGAAAAGGGCCAAAAAACGAAAATGTGTAGCTTGATATACGATGCAGACAGTCCTGGGCTTAACAACCACAGTTGAGCTCCAAATTTCAGTTGTTAAGTGAGGCAGTTGTTAAGTGGGTCTTGCCCATTTTACAACCTTCCTTGCCGTTGTTGTTAAACGAATGACTGCAGTTGTTAAGTTAGGAACACGGTTGTTAAGTGAATCTGGCTTCCCCGTTGCCTTTGCGTGTCAGAAGGTCGTAAAAGGGGGATCACGTGATTCTGGACATTGCAACCGTCATAAGTATGAATCAGTGCCTGAAGTTTGATCACATGACCATGGGGATGCTGCAACGGCCGTAAGTGTGAAAAACTATCTGAACTCCCCTTTTTTAGTGTCATTGTAACTTCAAACAGTCACTAAATGAACTGTTGTAAGTCGAGGACTACTTAAAAGCAGCGATCCACTTTTTAGATGTCACGGAACTACAGCTCCCATCATCCTCTACCCATTCCTCTGCTGGCAGGGGCTCCTGGGAGTTGTAGTCCAGGAAGGTCCTAAAGTCGCAACTTCCGGGTGTCCGTTTTTCAGTCCAGAAAGATCCGGAAGAGGCATTTCCAGGTAGATGTTTAACGAATCACCTGAGCTGCCCTACAGCTTCTCCTCTTTGTCCAATCATGTCTTTTTTATTGAAGAAGAAATGAACGGAAGGAAAGGAAGGAAGGACATAAACTCTGCGAGAAAAGGAGGAAAAGGAAAGGAAAAATAGGAAAAGAAAAATAGCTTTCTAATACCAGGGGGGAAATGTGAATTTTTGCTGCCTTCCTTATTACGGATGTGTTTCTTTCCTTCTGCATCTTTTTAAGCCCTGCCAGGGCGAGGGTTAAAAGACAGCGTGGAAGGAGACAACCGGCCCCTTGTTCTTCCTCCACCTTGAAAGGAAGAAGGAAAAAAATATATATGAGATGATCCAGAGAGCAGATTCCAGCTCTGAGAGTCGGTTTCCCCAAGGACGTGACTAACGCTCCGGAATCCTTGCACCAACATCTCTCGGCCCTGGGAAATATCGGTTTATCTCCTCACCTGACGTTGGATGATGGAGAGCAGAGGACTAGGAAACAAGAGTCACAGCCCAAGCAGAAGACACCCACTTCTGAGGGTCCCCTTGGAGATGGGTGGGAAGAAGGAATGATTGAGATTTAAGGGATCAATGTTCCTGCCAGGTTCCTTTGAAGTATGGTTGGCCCAGGAGAACATTCCTGGACCATTGTGTTTCCCCTCCAAACTTTTAGTCTCGTTGCTGTTAGTTGCAAAAAAAAATTTCCGACCCAACCCCATCTGGAGCCCATTCAAGCTCACGCTGGTGACTCCATCCAGCCATCTCCTTCTCTGCCATCCCCTTCTTCTTCTTCTGCCCTCCATCGTTCCCAGCATTTGGCTCTTCTCCCTGGAGTCCTTCTTCCTTCTCATCAAGTGGCCAAAGNCGTGGTCATGTGGCCGGCAGGACTCAACGCCGAAGGTGCGCGGAACGCTGTTCCCTTCCCACCAAAGGTGGTTCCTCTTTTTTCTACTTGCATTTTTTACGTGCTTTTGAACTGTTAGGTTGGCAGAAGCTGGGACAAGTCATGGGAGCTCACTCAGTTACGCAGCACTAGGGACTCGAACCACCAAACGGCCAACCTTTCTGATCGACAAGCTCAGCGTCTTAGTCACTGAGCCACCGCGTCCCGATAGGACCTTTTAAAGTTGTGTTGATTTATTTAAATTTATTGGTCCCCAAACTTCAGAGAAAGCTGTTGATGCCCCATCAAGAGAGAAAGGAGTTCCTTGTCTGTCCCCACTCCAGCTAAGACTACAAACTATTCTGCTAAAGATTTAAAAAGCTAAATTGCAAAAGTGGCAGGAACAAACTTCCCATTGTCTTTCGGTTCCCGTCTTGGTTTCCATTCCTGTTCCAAATGTTGAATCCTGGATGGGGAACAATGACTCCGAACTCTCTGTGGGCACGAGGGATTATCCAAGCTTTCCAATTCCCCTCCCATCCCCTCTTCCTTGCCCTCCGGCTGGTGCCCTTCCTCCATGGCTGACCCAGGCCATTCACCCCAAGGCTCACGAGAAGAAGACGCTCGGTTGTGACGTTGGAAGGACTTACCACTGGTGTGGGGTTAGAGGCAGCCAGCCAGGGAAGTGACAGAGGGCAGTCTAGCCATAGTCAGCAGAGAAAGCTGGACAGGTTGGTGAGGTTCTCTAAAGCTGCATTAACAGACCCCTTGCCAGTCTGAAGGGACAAATCTCCCACTGTCTCTTTTACAGCCCGAGAAACTAGGGAGGGTACCTTTCCGAGCCTCTTTCTTTTCCCATTATGCATCTCTGGGCTATGCCGTCTTTTATCTTCGCTCCCTCTCTCAAGGTCTTTCTCACAAACCAATACATCTGCTCCCTAAGGTGCGAAACTTCTACATCTGCAGCAAAGGACTACTCTACAGAATAATAACCATGAAATTCATTTAAAAGGATTATTTTCTTCATTTCCGGCGATTCCGACATTGCCCACAGGAGGGCACTGTTTTCTGTCCCTTAGCGTTAGCACTGAAGTCATCAGAAGGCTTTTTAAACGGCTTTTGAAGCAGGTTTCCCTCTTCTGCCCCTTTTCTGCAGCCCCTGTGGGTTGAACCACAGCTGTGTCCATGGACTGGTCTCTCCGTCCTCTTGGGAGTTACAGGATGGTTATTGCAACTTCTAGGGACGCAGTGGCTCACTGCTCACTCGCAGTGTCGGCAGTTCGGTGGTTCATATCCCCAGCACTGCATAACGGAGGGAGCTCCCGTGACTTGTCCCAGCTTCTGCCAACCCAGCAGTTCGAAAGCATATAAAAAATGCAAGTAGAAAAACAGGAACCGTCTTTGGTAGGAAGGTAACAGCATTCCATGTGCATTCAGTGTTGAGTCATGCCGGCCACATGACCACGGAGACGTCTTTGGACGGCGCCGGCTCTTCGGCCTTTGAAACGGAGATGAGCACCACCGCCCCCTGGAGTTGGGCATGACTAGTACATCTGTGCGTGGGGAACTTTTACCTTTACTTATTGCAACTTGGGCACAGTGGGTTTTTTTCTTTCTTTTGTAAATATGTTTTCTTAAACATCCTAGCTGGCACCATGGCCATGGCCACAAAATGAAAACTGGGTAAGGAAATGATGCCAGCATTTGCATCTTTCATTACCAGGGTCAATTGCTCTGCCTTATCAGAATGGGAAGAGGAACCTGGGCGGAGAGGGTGGGTCCAAAATTTGCATTGTCTCTTGGCTTTACCCATAATTTGCATAAGCAGCTGCAAACAGCTTATTTGATAGCAAGGAAAGGAACTCCCTGCAGCCAGTCTATTCCTCATATCAAGTCAAACATACTTTTGTTTTCCTGCAATCCTCCCCCTTACATTTAATTTTCCAATTCATCTCACTGTCTTTGTTTTATTTTGCTGGATTTTATTCCCTACGCAGCTTCTCCATAAAATATTGTTTGTTTGGACATCTCAGGCAGTCTTTCTCAACCTTGGCAACTCGAAGACAAGTGGACTTCAAGTCCCAGAATTCCCCAGCCAGCCTGCTTCTTTAAGATGGGTGGATTTCAGAATTACCCCTCATTGTGGCCGGCAAACATGCTGCCTGCGGGATTCTTGGAGCTGAAGTCCGTATATCTTCAGATTCCCAAGGTTGGGACACCTTGTTCTAGAAATCGAAGGAAGGTTATCCCTGGTGATATTTCATTAATTCTTCTCTCCTCTTCTTTTAGGGTGATGATGTTTGAAGGCAAGAGTCAAGAAAGCAGCCCCAAATTTTTAGGTCCTCCTCCAGAGCGAGACCTCTCAAGTCTTCCTTAAAGGGAGAGGCGAATACGGAACATTTTCCACCTCTGACGACCGCAAGATCTCTGCTCTGTTGCTTTTGTTTTAAAGACTCCATCCGAAGGGAATGGCAAGGAAAAGTCCAGTCGACGTCACTCAGACGAGGGTCGCCCCTGATTTTTATTCTCAACTGTTAACCCGAAGAGAAGCCCCGTTGTTCTCAAGAACCAAAGCAAACTCTAAAGGCAAAAATCCAGATTTCACGGGGCGTTTTTCAAAACAGATGGTACGCTCTCCAAAGCCCCCCTCCTCCTCCCCCCCCCCAAAGAAATCTGAAATTATTCAGATTTTCTTCACCACCACTTCTCTTCCAAGCACGAAACTGCTTTTCTGAAAATGGCTTTGTGTGCAGCCGGAAGGAAAACCAACCCCTCTGGCCCAAGGGAGGCAAAAACAAAATATGCAGGTGGTTTAAGTTGGGTCCTATCTTTAAAGGAGCAGAAACCACCCAGCCAGGATTTTTGCATCAGGCAACCTGCCATTTTTACCAAACGGTGATGAAGGAAAGCGAAAAGGGGAAACTGGAGGAGTTTTAGCCTAGAATTCAGAACCAGTCCTAGGCCGGATGGGGCGCGGATTTGAGTGACATCGTGGTTAGTTCTGAAGCGGGGGTTGGGGGGGAACGGTGTCTACATATGAAAAATATCGGCCACCACAAAAGTTTTAGGTCTCTTCCCAGACCAGTTTCCCTGATTTCTGAGGATTCCCCCCCCCCCTTCTGTCGTCCTGTCAAATGCAAACAATTTTCACGATGCCTGGATTTCTAATCTCGGTGTCTTTGTGCAAGCCAGTTTCCCTGATCAGGTCAGCGTGTCTCCCCCTTCTCCGTACAGCTAAACCTCGACTTACAACCAGGGGTCAGTGGGGTCAGTGATGAGATTCAAATTTTTATGCTACCGGTTCTGTGGGCGTGGCTTGNAGGAGGAGGAGGAGGGAGAAGAAGAGAGCACGCCCAGCCCTCCTTTTCTCCAAAACAATGGCCGTAATGGCTTCAGTAGGCATGCCTTCCATAGCTTCCCTCCAGAGGTTGTGGGGATCCATCACTGGAAGGTTTCCAAGAAGAGACTGGGCAGCCATTTGTGTCCGGAATGGGAGAGGGTCTCCTGCTTGGGCAGGGGGTTGGACTAGATGGCCTCTGAGGTCCCTTCCAACTTTGTTATGCTGCTGACTTTCCTTGTCCTGGGAAATGATGGGAAATTGCCCCCACTGGGCTTCTGAGGTGTGGATTGAGGCGGGAAGGCAGCCCGAGGAAAGGAAGGGAAGGGGGAAGAGCTGTATGGATGGAAGCAAGGGAAGAGAGCTGAGAGAAGGAAGGAAAAATAAAAGGAGGAGAGACTATAAAAATGGAGGGAGAGATGGGAAGAAAGGAAGAAGAAAATGAAAAAAGGGAGGGAAGGAAGGAAAAAAGATGAGAGAGATGGAAGAAAGGAAGACAAGAAATGAAGAAAAAATTGGGAGAAATAGATGGAGAAAGAACGAGAGGAAACATTGTGGGGGGCTTCATCACTGGAGGTCTTTAAAGAAGAGACTGGACAGCCACCTGTGTCCGGAATGGGAGAGGGTCTCCTGCTTGGGCAGGGGGTTGGACTAGATGACCTCCGAGGTCCCTTCCAACTCTGTTTATTCTATGTTGGTGTGTTCTAAGGGCTGAGTTCTAATGGTGCTAACCTTTGATTTCTCTTTTCTAGAAAAATACATGGAGTTCGACCTGAACAATCACGGCGAGATCGGTGAGATGGTCCAGTGGCCAATTGACCCCAATTTGAAAAGAGCAAATCAGTTATTTTTCTGTTTTGTTTTTATATCATAAAGGGGGTCCTTGACTTACAACCATTCATTTAGCGACAGTTCAAAGTTACAATGGCGCTTAAACAAGTCACTCACAAGTGGTTCTCGCACTTAAAAACTGTTGCAGGATCCCAAAGTCACGTGATGAGTTTACGATGGTTGTGGCATCACGTGGCCTCCCTCCACCTGTGACCTTCCCCTCCGGTGGCTTCTGATAGCACACAGACAATGAGGAAGATGGATTCACTTAACGACCGGCATCATTGGCATAGCCATTGTTTTGATTCACTCAACAGCTATTGCAAAATAGAAGGGGTAAAATTGGACATGACACACGCAAGACCCCCTTGCTTAGCAATGTGAGTTCTGTTCCCAGCGGTGGTTGTGTGTCGAAGGACCCCTGCAGCTTTTAACTTCATAACGTCAGGTTGAGTCAGGTTGCCTGAGAGGGTCTCTGTGTCTGTGTGAGAGAGAGAGACAGAGACACAGAGACAGAGAGGGGGGGGGGGAGAGATTGCTCACCTAAGTGGCAGGATGGAGCTCACCTAACTGGGCTAATAGCTTGTAATTTGGGAAAGGAGACCACTAGGAAATCTTAGGGGTGGAGACTAAACCACAAAATCTGAACTTCAGTCGCTTGGCAACACAGTTACATGTATGGCTGTTTGCAGAATCCCACTGTCACATGACTGCATCTTATATTTTATTTTATTGTCTTATTGTTTTTATTATATTATTATTTTATTATTTATTTTATTTTATACTTTATCTTATTTGTTTTGTTTTATTTTTATTATTTGCCACCCATCTTACCTCAGGATCACGCCAGGCAGCTTACAAAACAGTTTTGGCGAAAAAAGTCTGGCATTTAGTCTCAACTTTCAGCAAAACCCACACCACCAAGGTGCTCATTGAACAACCGCCTCCAGGGAGGTCACAAGGTCATGCGACCGACCCCCTTTAGGACCGCCACGACTTACGCTTGACTATGGTCAAAGGTCGAGGACTGCCCGTACCGCCAGGCAAGGGAGATAGGCGCCTCTTCTGTGGTTCCCCGTCAGCGTCCCCCTCCGCAGGCTCTAAGCGTCCGCTCTCCGTCTGCCCTTCCTTGCAGATCTCATGTCTGTGAAAAGGATGATGGAGAAACTGGGGAATCCCAAGACGCACCTGGAGCTGAAGAAAATGATCTCCGAGGTCACCGGGGGCACCAGCGAAACCATCTCCTACCAGGATTTCGTAACCATGATGCTGGGCAAGCGGTCAGCCGTCCTGAAACTGTGAGTATCCGTCAGAGGAGCAGAGATGGCGCAGGAGATGGATGCAGGGTTCCCAACAGAGTTGGTTCCAATTAGCCATCTTGGCTAGCTTGCCAACTGCTGGATTTTCTCTGACTACTTCGGTGCTCAGCTTAAGGAAAGGTAAAGCTTCCCCTCGCACAAATGTACCAGTCGTTCCCGACTCTAGGGGGCGATGGTGCTCATCTCCGTTTCAAAGGCCAAAGAGCCAGCGCTGTCTGAAGACGTCTCCGTGGTCATGTGGCCGGCAGGACTCAACGCCGAAGGTGCGCGGAACGCTGTTCCCTTCCCACCAAAGGTGGTTCCTCTTTTTTCTACTTGCATTTTTTACGTGCTTTTGAACTGTTAGGTTGGCAGAAGCTGGGACAAGTCATGGGAGCTCACTCAGTTACGCAGCACTAGGGACTCGAACCACCAAACGGCCAACCTTTCTGATCGACAAGCTCAGCGTCTNTGTGGTGTCAGCCTGCAAAAGATGGAAAACCTGCTTGAGAAGTTTCAGGAATGAACTTCCAGGAGTTGCTTCCCTTCCTGCGCCAAGGGTGTGTGTGTGTGTGTGTGTGTGTGTTTTCTGTGTTTAAACCTTAACAACAAATTCCTTTGGGGGATGGCTGGGAGTTATGAAAATATACCTCTCTAGAGTCTCAAAAGGATTATCGTTTTCTTTTGCCTTTTGCCAAAGATAAGGGATAGGAAACCAGCTGGATTTCAGGAGGAGGAGGAGGAGGAGGAGGAGGAGGAGGAGGAGATGCTTAAAGGATTGGATTGCCTGCCAGCAGAAGCTCTGTGGCTGATGGTCAGGATTACAAGTAGTCCTCGACATGGAACCAAAACTGGAGCCCCTGAAGTGGGACGGTCAATAAATGAACATAGAATAATGCAAGGGACCTTGGAGGTCTTCTAGTCTAACCCCCTGTTCGCGCAGGAGACTCTATCCCATTCCAGACAAACGGATATCTAGACTCTGCTTAAAAGCCTCCAGGGATGGAGCACCCACAACTTCTGGAGGCAACTTCTGTTCCACTGGTGAATTGTTCGCACTGTTAGGAAATTCCTCACTGATTCTAGGTTGTGTCTCTCCTTGGTTAGTTTCCACCCATTGCTTCTTCTCCTGTCCTCAGGGGTGTTGGAGAAAGAGGATTGTGGGGTTCTTGTTGCTCTCTGAGCTTGGTTGTTTTCTTGCAGACATCATCGCTAGCACTGATGATGTTACCTAGTTTGGTAATGAAACGTCTGCGAGAAAACAACCAAGCTCAGTGAACACCAAGGACGCCTGGTAAAAGTCTCCTGTTTTTGGCCAGAGGGTTGGACTAGAGGACCTCCAAGGTCCCTTCCAGCCCTGTGCTGCCATAAGTACAGGATTATCTGAATTCCATTTGTCTGAATTGACTTTCCTTGTTATGCATCCCAGGGAGTCCAGTTTGGCTTTGCTGACACAATTGTTTATTATCTCTGCTCAAGGGCTCTGCAATCTCTGCTTCAAGATAACTTTGTTGAACATTCATTCTAACCCCCAGTCTTAATTCAGGGACTGTTGACCCTTTTCTCTGTTTTTAATGCTGTGTTTTTCTTTCTGGCATTTTCTTTCCTTTATTTTTTTTTTTAGCAGAATGGCCCAATTTTTGCAATATTTTCCCTCACTCCATGCAACACCCAACAAAGCTATTTTCATTGTTCGGTGTGTGAAGTGCTTAAATGGGCTTCCCCACTCAAATTGCAAAGAGATAATGATAAAGTCTGTATCTATACTGGTTGTTCTCAACTTACTAACACAACTGAGCCCCAAATTTCTGTAAACCCCCTGTGTCCACCGAGGCCACGTGAAAAGGAAGCGGCTGGGAAGGTTTGATTGCTGCTTAAACCTATTGATCTTCTCCTTTTTTAAAATCCTCTTTTCTCTGTTTCAGGAGTTTCTCTGCGACCCAAAGTTTAGCGATGAAGAGGACCTGGAAGAAAAGCTTGCGGTTTTTAAAGGTAGTAGTCCACATTGAGTGAACCGCCTGTAGAAAATAATTTCCCTTTGGGTTAGAGACAGAAGCACTGCAATTGTCCAGAGGATGGAGAAACAGTGCGATGTGATCACCCCCAATGTTATTATTATTTTGGAGAGACGTTCCCCTCACACATATGTGTCGGTCGTTCCTGACTCTAGAGGGCGGTGCTTATCTCCGTTTCAAAGCCAAAGAGCCAGCGCTGTCTGAAGATGTCTCCATGGTCAGGTGGCTGGCATGCTTAGATGCCGAAGGCGCGCAGAACTTCCCTATTTTTTCTACTTACATTTTTTAATGTTCTTTCGAACTGCTAGGTTGACAAAAGCTGGGACAAGTCACGGGAGCTCACTCCATTACGCGGCACTAGGGATTCAAACTGCCGAACTGCTGACCTTTCTGATCGACACGCTCAGCGTCTTTAGCCACTGAGCCACCGCATCCCTTTGCCATTTAAAATTAATTCCAAAAAATCACTTCCATTCACCCTCCTCTTTTTCTTCCCCTCTTCTTCTCTTCTTTAAGTGAATTGGAGGACGTGTTAAAGTCCTATTGTCGTCTCCGCCAGCGTGAACTTCTCCAGATGTTAGGGGCCACCACCTCCCTGGCTCCAAGTTCAGCACATCTGGAAGGGATTTGTATCCCAGCAGCGGCCACGCCTCGTGGCCAAACCCGGTCAGAGGAACTGGCAATGGTGGCTGGGTTTTTTTCCAGCTGGGAAGTGGGATTAAGAACGTGTCTTTGGCTCTGAGATCAGGGTGTGGGTGAGGACTGGGAATATTACTGTTATTATTATTATTATTGCCAGTGCAACAGATGGGATTGGAACCCATCTGATTTTTAAACATGTTTAGCCTCCTTCGAGATCTCGCAGACCACGCCCGTACGGTTTCACAAAAACGGATGGATCTCCAAGGAACCAACCAGGCTGGGTTTCGCAAAATATACACAACCAGGAAAAGCAAACCAGGATTGACAAGGGATCAGCAACGGATCTGCATGTAGTCCTCGGGGGATAACCATTCGTTTAGCGACTGTTCAAAGTTACGATGCTGCTGAACAACCATCAGTCTTCACATTTACGACTGTTGCGACGTTCCCCCACTGTCGCATGATCAAACTTCTGCCTCTGAAGGAATGGAGACTCGAAGTTGTGAAATGAAATCTGTGCTTGCTACAAAGGCCACAAAAATTCAACCTTGTGTCAAAGGCTGCAACGGGCAAAAAGTCTTTATATGCTGTTTGAGGAGGACTACCGAGGTTCTGACCCGAGTCTTTCCGAGCGTCTGAAGCAAACTCCTGGTCCCGAGTTTAAAAAACCCGTTTTATTAATTGACTGTGAATTCTGCTCCTTCACCTCCAGCAAAGTCTTTCAAGGGAGGATTTACGGTCACAGACTTTATCTGGCTTGGAGAGCTGACAGGCCGAGATCTGCAGAACTTGGCAAGGAGTCTCGGATTAAGCGAACTCCACTCCCCTTTTGCTCCTTTTCCTCTGGGAGGGGCCCTTCATTGTCCACCTGTGGCCTTCCTCCCAGGTCGACCCCTGCTCTTTAGCTGTTCCCTTTGTCTGGCCACCCAGTGTGCATGCGCACACTGGGAACAGGCTGTTCCTCTGCCTCACTGATATCTGACTCTGAAGACAGCAGATAACTGTCATATGGCCCTGGCCCCCTCTCTGCCTCTGACACAGAGCCCTCATCATCAGAGCCTTCCCCAGAGTCCAGGACTGGCCCATCTCCCTCCCCAACCTCCTCACTGTCCGAATCTGCTGCCAGCTCCACTGGCCGCTGGTGGGCCACAACACAAGGTTGTGTTGGTTTTGAGCACACACACACAAAGCATACACACTTTTTCTCTTTCCAAATCTTTGCTCCTGTGTCCTTCTGGCAAGCAAATTCAGCATTTTTCTGATCCAAAACTTTTTTCTTTTGGAACTGACCAACAATCAAGCTTTTGTTTCTAGGTCTTTTCTCCCACTGGACACAAAGTGCACAGAAATACACACACACACACACACACACACACACTGCAAATGCAGGATTTGTACCCTACCCCTCTGTTAGTGAGGATATGTACAGGCAGGATCTCCAAGGCTTTTTTTCAAACCTTCTGGGCTCAAAAGAGACTGGAGATGCCAGAGAGGTTTTCTCCCCTNTATTGGTTCCCTTGAGGAGAGAAGCCTCATAAAGGGGACGAGGGCCTTACTTCTCCTTTTGTTACAGGTATGGACCACGTGTCATTAATGAACTTTATCTGAACCTTTTGGTTTGGACTTTTGACATGGGGACGTTGGCTAGAACATCTTGTGGTTAGAGGCTGATGACGTCTCTTTTAAGCAAGCTTCTAACTATCTTTTTTTATGCCAAGCCTTCATTCTTATATTTTTAATCCAAAATATTTTTAATATTTTGTTGTACTTTACCCCCACCTTTGTCAATGGGCCATTAAGGCCTAAGCCAGTCTATTCTACATAACGAACATCTGCCTCCTTCAGGCAGAACCATAATAGCAACAGCTCAAGCACACTTGGGATTCAAAAGAAAGACAGCCTACAAAGTTACTTAGACCCCCCCCCTCCCGCCCCTTGAACCACCAATCAGAGTGCATTTCTTGCACAGGGAAGCTCTGGGGTGGGGCCCAGAGAGCGCATAAAAGGCACTCTCAGCATCTCTTCTCTTCCCCCCTCCCCCCCCAGCATCTCAAACCATGTGGTTCTGTCCACCATTAAACCATAGGATTCCCATAGCACCTGCCCCCCCACCCACCCCGCAATATCCTCCCATGAGCATATATAGTGGCTGCCTTGCCACAACTGATTTTAAAACCAATTCCAGCAAGACACCTGGCAGCTGTGGATGGAGAAACACAAGAAGCCACCCTAACTGGGTTGATCCTTGGGGAAGTAACAGATGAACAGAGTTGGAAGGGACCTTGAAGGTCATCTAGTCCAACCCCCCAGGCCAAGCAGGAGACCCTACATCTGCCTCTACCA